ACTTTCAAACTGCCACATTTCAAGAACAGAAAAACTTAGTACAAAGGTAATTTTGAAGTAGTATATATAGATGAAAAGGATTTGTCATCTTTTCTGAATGCCAGACCCAAAGGTTTCAATAGAAGGGCATTTTAAAGGGCTACCTGAAAACTCTGGGAAGGCAGTAGTTAGGGTTTGTATTATTATTTATTCAAGCTTGGAGAAGTATTGTAAGGAATAGGTTGTTACATATAGGAGTAGGACTTTTGCCCCAGAGAGTTCTTAGTCTATAGCACAAATGATAATCCCAGAAAATTTGTATTAAATTTGTTCTTCATAACTGTAATGCCAGTAATTGCAGTTCTCTGCAGGGATGAGGAGAATGGCTTTTAGAGGCTCTTAGGTTATTGTTTGGGAGCTCTGGTAGCATAGTGCCTAAGGCACTTGACTGCTAACCAGAAGGTTGGTGGTTCAAACCCACCAGCCACTGCTCAGAAGGAAGATGGGGCAATCTACTTCCGTAGTGATACTGCCTCAGAAACCCGAGTCGGATCCGACTCGAGGGCACATAACAACAACAGGTTATTGTTTAAGTTATTAACGTATTGAGTTGTGCATTTTTCAAATTTGCTGTTTTAGACAGTTCACAATTGCTTTTACATTCTTCAGTATGTATTTTCCTTAATCATCTGCTAACATTACTCTGTCAGAATTTATGTTAGCTGTAATTAACTTTTGAAGTTTAAAATTTCAGAGCCACTTTGTATTCCTTGGAAAAGGTCGACCAGTTGTTTCAGGAATTTTTATTTGCACCACAGGTTAGAACTGCAGACACAGATCTTTTCAGGTGAGCTGATTTTTCAAGGTCAGAAGCCTTTCTTTGAACTTTATAATCATTTGTGATTAGCTGCATTCACTGTTTCTTAAAAAGAGCTTTGATGAGGGAAGTCATATATATAAAGGAATTTTTCCCCCCATTGTTACCTTCTTTTGTAATCTCCATTCCTGTCAAATTGTCTGAAATAGGAGATTTTTCTTTGCCATCTTGAGTTAAACAGGCCCCTTTGATGCCTACTTCAATATTTTCTTGTCTTGTATTCATTTAACTTGTAGTTAAGCCCTTCACTGGAGATTATGTCAGAAGGGAGAGAAGGTGAAAAGCAAATGAATCATTTCTTAATTGTTAGCAGCTCTGGAAAATGATTTAGTATAAAAGATTGAAACTATTCTGGAAATTCTTTTGGATTATGTTTTATCTGACTCTTCCGGTTTGTCTCAGATATTCCCAATAGTCATCAATTCAGAGGCTGATTACCCAGCTACTGGATAGCTAGGAATCTTTCTGCTTTTTTTGGTTGGTTGGTTGGTTTTTGAACATTAGAGGATGTTCAGAAGTAAGAAGTCAAAATAAAATTTAAACCAATCAATACTATTTTTTTCCCTTAAAAGTATTTAATGAATGATTTGGTTTTTGTACAGTTTAGTCGTTGTTATTAGAAGTGTTTAAGAGTAACTTTGCTTCGTTTTTTTTTTTTTTGATATATCGAGTTCTGGTGGCAGTGGGTAAAGCAGCATTCAGCTGCTAACTAAAAGGTCAGGGATTTGAACCCACTAGCTGCTCTGTGGGAGAAGTATTGGGCAGTCTGCTTCTGTAAAGATTTGTAGCCTTGGAAACCATATGGGGTAGTTCTCCTCTGTCCTGTAGCATCACTGTGAGTCAGAATCGACTCTGTGACAGTGGGTTTGGCTTGGTTTATACACAAACATAGGGAGTCTTTTGGGTGCTTTTTAAGAAAACATGGACTTATATAAATTCCATAATTGCTTTCCTGAATTACTAAACTTGAGCTTTCATTACGTCTTTGTTCCGGAACCTTGCCTTTTGCTATGGAACAGATTTAGTGGCATCATCTTTCTTTTTAAGATTACTTATAAGTTATTGTGTTTTGATTTAGCAATAAAAAAAGGAGTATTAGTGGAAAGGCCTTCTATAAGAGCTGTAACACTGATGATATGATACCTGTTTTTTTCCTTGTCTCTGGTCTCCTGTTCCTTATTTAACCAATCAGATATTCATGGGTTGGAGTTCTTTTTGTCACTTAAGACAGAGGATAGTATCCATCAATCACATTAGTAAGTTCCTGCCATTTCTTACTCTTGGGGAAATTTTTATAAACTTATTATGACTAGTACTCACATAGACTTGAGTTACTGGTAAATTTGTAAATACAGTATATCTCTGCTAGGGTAGAGTTTAATTTTTATAGATGGTTGTAGGGAACCAAAGTTGACCATTTCACCTTCTTATTTCTTAGATTCTGGTCTTTCATTTTGTACTCCAAGAGGGCATTTACAGAAAGATCTAGACTAGGAGTCAGAGAACTTACGTTCTTATTCAGTTAATTCCCAGTTGTGGGACCTTGAGCAAGTCACTTAATCTTCTTAGTAATCTATGTTCATGTATTGCTTACTGTACCAGAGATGTGGGAAAAAGCTCTCATGCCCCTGTCCATACTTCTGATTGTTCTTTCAGAATCTCTTCTCAAGTTGTCCGAATTTTCCTTTGGGACTCAGCTGAGTGAGCTCTTTCTCCATTTTCCCATTTGAAATATTTCTTGCTCTTTCCTCCCACAGGACTTTGCTGGCCCATCTGTTGTATAAACCCCACTCATTGCTGTCAAACTGATTCAGACTCATAGTGACCCTATAAGGCAGAGTAGAACTGCCCCATGAGGTTTCCAAGGCTGTAAATCTTTACGGAAGCAGATTGCCACCTTTCTCCTGCGGAGCGGTTGGTGAGTTCAAACATCGATCTTTCGGTTAACAGCCAAGTGCTTAACCACTATATCACCTGGACCCATCTATCTCTTGTACAGCACTTTTGAATTCTTTTCTATATTTCAGTTGTTGCATGATGTCTTTCTGTGTGGACTGAAAGCTCCACGAGGACAGGAATTGTCCCTTTCCTATTTCTGTGCATCCACATTACTCACAGGCTTCCCCTGCACACACCTCATAGTTGACCTACAATAAATGTTGAATTAATTATTATTGAAGCTGCCCAGAATGAATACTTTGGATGATGGGAGGATGCCAAAAATGAACATTTTTACTAGAATTTTTGAATGGCTGGACTTTTAAATCGCTTTGTTATGGATCTGTTTCATATCAGTACCTGAATCAGATGCTGGTAAGACAAATTGATTAAGTCTGTTTCTTGGTTCTGTTTATTTCAAATACTGTTTGTGAAGCAAGTCAGAGGAATGAAAGGTTGTGGCAATAGCCTTGAATTGGACATTTGTTCCATTTTTCACCCTATAGCATGTAGAGGCCTATCTATATCCAGTTGCTGAATGTGGAGAATAAAAACTGACTCCATATCATCTGGTCCACATTTTAGCTTGTTTGCTTTGAAGCATTTGCAAGGTGGAGAAATAGATGCTTCAGGCTCTGATTTCAGCCCCTGCTGTGCTATGCAAATGTTCTCTACATGCCTGAGTGACCTTTCGAGAAAGAGCCTTTGTGATCTTCTATAGCCAGGGCCTGTTCTGGGAATTGTGTGCCAGATTCCTCTAAAAGTGGGAAAAGTAGAGCTGTTCAAAGACCATGTTAAAAAAGCAAATGCTTTTTTTTTTTTTCCCAGGATGAATACTGAGAAGTCCATGTTTCTTACCATTTCTTGCCAGAGCTTTTGAAATTTGCTGTGCAGTTTGCTTTGCACGTTGATTTGGGAGATGAAGTGTGTGAGAGGGAACTGACTAAAGCAATTCTGTAGCTGGGAAACTGTTCAAATACTTTTGAATTGTTGATAAAAATAAATTCAAACTGGCATCATTAGTATCTGGGTGTTTATCAATGTCTGGAGGCAGGCTCTCCATAAGGGCCAGCTGACTGACTCTTAACCAGATTTGCAGGATTCTTTTTCATCCTAAATTGTGTTCCAGTGATTTGGCATTTAAAGTGTTATGATTATTGTACAAAGTGAAATATATTACAATAAAAATAAATATTAAAAATATAATTGTTTTTTTATGTTACAAAAAATTCTATTTTGATATATTCTTCCTGGAAAGTGATAATGATGTTTTGGGAGATTTATGATTTTGAATACTTTCACTGAGAAGTTTAGTTTGTCTGGCTGACATGCTAATGAAAACTTTCCCTTTCTCCCTTTCTCTTAAATGACCTTTTTGATAAGGACTATCACATTATAGGTTTGTACCAGGATATTGTTGTTGTTAGGTGCCATTGAGTCAGTCCTGACTCATAGTCACCTTATTTACAACAGAACAAAATTTACTGTCCAGTGTAGCACCATCTGTTGCTGTGCTTGAGCCCATCGGTGCATCTACTGAGTCAAGCCATCTCGTTACGAGCCTTCCCCTTTTTTGCTGACCCTCCACTTTACCTAGCGTGATGTTCTCTTCCAGGGACTATTGCTTCTAACAACATGACCAAAGTACATGAGACAAATTTTGGCCATTCTCACTCCTAAAGAACATTCTGGCTGTACTTCCTCCAGAACAGATTTGTTTGTTCTTCTAGCAAGCATTCCATGGTACCTTCAATGTTCTTCACCATCACCACAATTCAAAAGCATCAATTCTTCTGTAGTTTTCCTTATTCATTGTTCAGGTCTTACATGAATAAGAAGGTATTGAAAATACCATGGCTTGGGCCAGGTGCACCTTAGTCTTCAAAGTGACAACCAGGATAAGGTTGTAGAATTAATCATAATGTTCTCCTATGGAAATCCTAAACATTGTATTTTGAGAGAATATAGGTAAAATTTGAATGAGTGGTTTATTTCCTAGGCTTTTCCTCCTCCTCTAAGTATAAGATAGTTCTCTTTGTAAAGAATGGCAGTCTCTTAGGTGGATGTTCTGGATGGGCTTGTGGTCCTTGTGATAGGATAGAAGACCTGGTAGAAAACTCTAAGGGGGAAGGCTTTCTTCCCTGGATATCTGCCCCTGAGCAGGTTTTAGTTGAGCAAAGATAAGTGGTTTTCTGGTATTGGCTTGCTCTTTTGGGTGGAAAAACCTTTCTGCTCTTATTCTCATGATTACATATGCTGTCACATTTCTTCCTTTCGCCTCCCAAAGCTTCCCTGGAACCTGGGCTCCCAGAAACGCAGTGCTGGAGCAGATGGATAATGGAGACTGGGGCTATATGGTGAGTTGCTCTCACAAATGCATTTTGAAGACTGACAAATTATTTTTGTCTTTTTCTCCTTATAGATTCTTAAATGTAGTTAATAAAAACTATGAATTTTTAAAAAAAACTATGAATTTTTATTAACCCCACTCATTTAATAACTTTAGATGTAGTTTTGAATTTTTTTTTTTTTTGGGGGGGTATATGTAAACTTAATGTGAACTCTCCAGATTGTTTTTTATATTCATTTATTTGAGAGATACCATGAGTTTTTGGTCTTTAAAGTATGTTACTCTTAAACGCTCCTTAATGGAATAGTAACTGTTCTAGTAGGTAAGAGAACAGGATATTTACTTGTGTTTAGGGAGATTAATGGTTGATAAGGTACCTCCTCTCCCCCTTGCACTTTTCTCTATGTGTTTTCTGTTCCTTTGGTAAGAGATTTTTATTTGCGTAGTACCTAAAGTCTATCTTTCTGTTTCTATTTTTTCTTAAATATGATTTTTAAAACCAAGAGTATGTGTTATTTAAAGACAACTTCTCAAAATTAAAGGCCAGATTGCAACACTGAAGTTTCAAAAGTGAATGTACCATCAGATTATGAAATTTTAAAGCTGCTGTTAGCCTTTATGATGGTTTTATAGCTAAGATATATTGACTAAACTGTACATTTAAACTTAGTATTCAAAAATATTATTTCCATGACACAGTTATCAAGATTAGGGCTGACAGTTTCCCCCTTTTTTTTAGTTGTGGTAAATAGATAACAGACATTTGCCATTTTAACAATCTCACATGTACAGTTCAGTCATATTAAATATATTCATAATGTTGTTCAACCATCACCATTAACTGTTCCTGAATTTTTCCATCAGGTCTAACAAATTTTTATTTTCAAAATAAATTTCATGATTTTCCTCCCTTATTTGAAGAAATGTTGAAAGAAATACTGAAAGGTCTATTACCAGATCATTTCTATAGTCTTATACTAAATTGAGTTAAGAAAATTAAAAGTCTTTCTTAAAAAAATCAGAAAAAAACTCACTTGAGTGTATTTTAGTTTGGCTTTTTCCCTTCTTGTAATATACTCTGGCCTGAAAACTTCTCTCTAGATACTGGCCCTGAAAATAAATAATTTTGGAAGAACATACCTCCATTCTTTGAGTAAGTCTTTAAAGGATTGGCTTTATCCTTATTTTTCAAATTGAAAGCAAATGTAAGATCCCTTTGCCTGGGTGGGTTTATCACTGAAGTAAAGCTGTTTCATTAGTAGCATTATAGAATTGCTAAATACTTTATAGCCTGGAGGAATCTTTTCCTTTCCTCATTACAATTAATTTTCTTAATTTGTCAAAGTTAGGATTTAAACAAAATTTTCAGATGACTGATCATTTTTTTGAAAACTTTCAGATGACTGACCCAGTCACGTTAAATGTAGGTGGACACTTGTACACGACGTCTCTCACCACATTGACGCGTTACCCAGATTCCATGCTTGGAGCTATGTTTGGGGGGGACTTCCCCACAGCTCGAGACCCGCAAGGCAATTATTTCATTGATCGAGATGGACCTCTTTTCCGTTATGTCCTCAACTTCTTAAGAACTTCAGAGTTGACTTTGCCCTTGGATTTTAAGGAATTTGATCTGCTTCGGAAAGAAGCAGATTTTTATCAGATTGAGCCTCTGATTCAGTGTCTCAATGACCCTAAACCTTTGTATCCTATGGATACTTTTGAAGAAGTTGTGGAGTTATCTAGTACTCGGAAGCTTTCTAAGTACTCCAATCCAGTGGCTGTCATCATAACCCAATTAACCATCACTACCAAGGTCCACTCCTTACTAGAAGGCATCTCAAACTATTTTACCAAGTGGAATAAGCACATGATGGACACTAGAGACTGCCAGGTTTCCTTTACTTTTGGACCCTGTGATTATCACCAGGAAGTTTCTCTCCGGGTGCATCTGATGGAATACATTACAAAACAAGGTTTTACGATTCGCAACACCCGAGTGCATCACATGAGTGAGCGGGCCAATGAGAACACAGTGGAGCACAACTGGACTTTCTGTAGACTGGCCCGGAAGACAGATGACTGAGCTCCAGCCCTGGGATAAGTTCCTGGAAACTTTTTAGGAGATGAGATGGAAGAGACTGATTTTTTTTTATTTTCTAAATCAGTGTGGGTTTTTTTTTATTTTTTAATATTTGTATTTATTTGAAGGCATTGAAGACCAGAAAGGAAGTTTTGTGCTTTAACAGACCCCTCCATGTTTTGTTTCCTCCACCTCAGTATGCATGTGCCTGTTCAGTCTCCAGATACCTTTTTTATAAAAAGAAGTCTGAAAATTGTTATGGTATTATAATCTACCCTTTAACAGAATTGTGTTTTTTTTTTTTTTTTTAATACAGTGCTTAAATGGTCCCTAACTCAACTAGAAGGTTAAAAATGCAGCAATGAAAGTTAAGCAGAGTACTCACAATGCCTTTGAGAAAAATCAGAACATCATGTAGGGTGACTTAGTTTCCAAACCAATAAGCAGTATTGTAATATTAAAGGAAAACTGTTCCAATCATTTAAAAGTACTTGTTAAGTACTGCTTTTTACAGTTATGACAACTGTTTCTTTCTATGCATATAAATCAAGCAACCAAATATCTGTAGCCATGGAAATGTCTGAATAGAAATATTTATATTGGATTCTGAATACAGAATGTCCCTGTGGTAGAAATCTTACTTTTATGCCTGGTACAGTATAATTCTCACGTGTACTGTCTACCAGGAAAAAGCTAATAAAAAAATGAAATATGAAAATTAGTTTTGTATTTATTAAAGGGGAAAATCATTTTCCTTGCTAAAATACTCATTCTTTTATATTCTAGTATATACTATGTATAGCACATTTGTAGGAGCTCAGTGGTTAAGGCATTTGGCTGTTAACCAAAAAGTTGGCAGCTCAAACCCATCAGCGCCTCATGGGAAAAAGATGAAGAAGTCTCCTTCTATAAAGATTTATGGCGTTACAAAGGCTATGGAGAAGTTCTACTCTGTCCTGTAAGATCATTATGAGTCAGAATTGACTCGATGACAATGGGTTTTGGTTTTTTGGGGTATAGCACGTTTGTATTTGATTTGAGAGTTCTTGGTGGAACCTTGAGTTACTTACAGTTGATAAGAACTCTACTGTGTCATTTAAGCTGAAAGAATGGAATTATTCCTATTGTCTGAAACAGTCCATATCTGAACAATGAACATACAATTTGATAAATTTTTTTCAAATAGGACTTATGTTGAGGATTACAGATTTTTCTTCAATAAGCCGCCAGTTGTCAGCTTGGGATATAATTCTGATTTCCAGCTTTGTGCTAAAGCACACTAGCAAATTGACTCTTTAGTCCCTTTAATATATTGTGGAGACTCACAAATGCTTTTTATTATTAAAGATTATTTGAGATCAGAAGAAATAAACTTACAATGAATGAATGTTTTGGAACAGTTTGAGAAATGTGATTTATTTCACTGTAGTGTTATTTTACATAGCTCATTTGATTCTGTTCTTGAAAGTTATTCCAAGGAAGGATTATGGTAACTACAATGAATCTTCTAAGTTTGCTAGAACACCTTTTTTTTTTTTTTTTTTTT